TGAGTCATCCCCAAGCCCCTTGAATTCATTACATTCGCTAAAGCTATAAAAACCCTAGCATTTCGCCTTTCTCAAGAAAATATCCTTGGGGAGTTCTATTATTAAATATCCTACGGGATTCTAATAGCCTCTTTCTGATACATATAATAAATCACCCGGTCAAAGACCTTAAATAAAATAAACTATTGTCAAATCACCAACGTCACGCCTCTGGCGAGTTGCCTTAAATATAAAAATACTTTACTTTCGTGTTTGCACTAATTAAACCTACGAATCACCCCGTAACATTGCAAGCAGTACGCGCCTGTAAGGGGTTCAATACCTAGGATGGGGTGAGCCGATCCGGCCTGACGAGGGATGTGACGGCCCTCATTCGAGCACTCAATTTTTTGCAATTTGAGTTTTATCTATTTATTATTTTTTTTATTACATTCTAAATTTGCTAGTTTTTTTTCTCTAATTCATAAGGAATACGAATTTATTTAGAAATAAAGTTCGTAATTTTTTTTTTTTTAATCTTGTACGATGATCATTGATTCTCTTAATCTACCAATCAAATTACAGCATCAGGTTTAATTTTATCATTATATAAATAACGAACTTTCATCGGTTTCTGGCGTTGTTACCAATAATTTCACCTAGCAATTAATTCTCCATAAATATACACATAAAAATCAAAGTTTATCTAATGTTTATTACTTGTCGCTCGGAAAGGGGTTTTAACTTTTGATTTCATGGAAAAATGGGTTTGTATACTAATTATAGTTTAGCTTATTGCTTTACGAATTTATTTTTTAGTGATTTCTTTAATAGATTTCTTTTTTTCGCTAGAGTTTACTATTTCACAGAATTTCATCCTTTATCCGAGGTTCTTTTTGGTGATGGTTTGGCTTTTTATCTTCGCCAGTTTTAAGTTTAGATTTTCACTATTACTATGACATAATTCGGCCCAATCAAAACTCTCACTATAATACACCATGAAAGTTAAGGTTCACTCTTAATAACATTGGCTTCTTTGAATATAAGATCATTTTAATTAATTCAAAATTTTAAGATTCAAAGTATTTAGATTTCAAGCACTTACAAGTTTAACATTACGTGATATTGTTGCGTTTGAAGTTAGTACTTGTCTAAAGTTGTAACTTAAAACGCTTGAAGTCGTACTTGCCTAAGATTATTAATTAATGCGTGCAAGAAAATTTAATTTTAGGGTTTAATTTGAGTCAGGAGCAACTTTAGAGAGGTGTCAACTTCAAGCACGATAAGATCATTCGATTTGTTTATTCATATAAGAGTTACAACTTTAAATTTAAAATTGGATCTAATATTCTAGAACCCAGTATTGTACATATGTTAAAAAACTCAAAATTTTATATAGATAATCTTTTTTCAACTTTTAAATAAAAATATTTGAAGTTTAATTTTACATATATTTTATTACTTTATAATTTAGTTTTGCAAACTAAAAATCGAGAATTGGTGGGATTTGTTAAGACGTCCTGGGATGACAAAGTCAAAAAAGCTTGGGGTAGTCAAAGTGTATCATAATGTTAGAATCCATAGTAATCTGTAGTGATATCAATAATTCTATCAATATTCTTAGAAATATTAATGCTGGGATAATATAGACGGCATAGAAAGTGCCAGACTCCTAAAAACATATTAAAAATGATTAGTGCTCTCTGTATAGTATCGGAGCAGCATTTTGTTTCGAATCGAACCGAACACGGGGCTTAATTAATTGATCGAATGATTGTGTATTATGATTTATTGCTTGATGAGTAGGGGCGTATTATGCAAACGTTTATAGCGAAAATGAAGTAGCTTTTTTGATTTGTTATTGTGTAGTATTTTCGATTAGTAATCGTGGGAGTTTAACGGTATAGTTACTGGTAATCGTTAGAGTTAGTTATAGTAGCGACGTAATTACGTCGTTAGAATTTATTATAGTAACGACGTAATTACGTAGGTCTTTCGATTTGTAATCGTTAGGGCATATTTAGAGGGGACGGGTTTTTCCTAGACAAGATAATTCCTGTTTATTCTGCCCTTTCCCACCCCTCATAGGGTGGCCTAACGAACATTTGTGACGCGATATTGGGAATCTTTGGTGTATTCGATGAGTAGCCTGTCGTGACGACAGTTACATGAATGTTATCGTTTTTGTGCGTATTACGCTCGGATAGGTATCGTTGCATGACAGGGCATAATGAGGAAATAGCCATTGCTTAGTGGATATCGAGGGTTCGGCCTGTCAGACGACAGTCGAATTCTTGAGTTTGTTAGTAGGTGGCCTGTCAGGACGACAGTCACTGAGATTTATCGTTTTGTTCAGTTTACGTTCGGATTTGGCCTGTCGGACGACAGTCAAATCTTGAGCTTTAGTAGTTGGCCTGTCAGGACAACAGTCACAGAGATTTATTGTTGTTTATTTATTCGGGTTTGGCCTGTCGGACGACAGTCAAATTCAAGTTTTCAGTAGATAGTCACAAAATCGTATATGTGGGTGCTTTACGCTCAGGTAGGTATTGTTAGTGATTAGAGCGTAACAAATGGAAAGAGAATGAAAAACTTCGGAATGCAACAGTCAAGAACTTAGTTCACAACTAATGAATTTATTGCATATTTGTCGATGCTTTCGAATTCTGCATTATGTGGGACTATTTGCACAAAGCAGCAGAGGCAGAATACCCGATACTGTACAAAAAATTCGTTTACATGGATGGAAAATGTGCATCCGATTTTAAAGTTTGCGCACATACGGTTTATACATATATGGGTCAGTACACAGCAAAAAAGGGGCTTCGGGACGAATTTTTTATTTGTAGATATCAATATTTAATGAATTAAAATTTTAAATATAATATATAGGTAAAACAATACTGCGTATAAAATTGTACAAAATTTTATTATGCTAATGTGAGCTAAAAAATTTACTGTGAATAAATCACATATTTAGAAATATAATTCGATAAAATCTCGACCTTGATCAAAATGTCTCTAAACCTCGTTTTGCTGTGTACTGACCAATATATGCGCTTGCGCTAATAAAAAATTATAAATTTATAACACTGGTCATAACTCTAACAATTTAAAATTATAACAGAATAAATCAGATATAGTCGTATTCGTGCATCTAATCGATTGTATTTTCATATTTTACTACAAGTAACCAATAAATTTTACAATAGTATTCGATACTAATTAGAAGGAATTTATGAAAATAATGTATAAATATAAAAATGTGAAAAAAATTATTAGAAATTGGCTGATTAGTGTAGTGGTATTGAGCTCCCGAGCAGTACGCGCCTGTAAGGGGTTCAATACCTAGGATGGGGTGAGCCGATCCGGCCTGACGAGGGATGTGACGGCCCTCATTCGAGCACTTAATTTTTTGCAATTTGAGTTTTATCTATTTATTTTTTTTATTATATTCTAAATTTGCTAGTTTTTTTTTCTCTAATTATAAGGAATACGAATTTATTTAGAAATAAAGTTCGTAATTTTTTTTTTTTTTTTTAATCTTGTATGATGATCATTGATTCTCTTAATCGACCAATCAAATTATAGCATCAGGTTTAATTTTATCATTATACAGTATAAGTATACAATATTGCCCGGTTGAACCAAATTACCGTTATTCAAAAATTTGCCGAATAATGGTGTTATTCGACAATTTATGATCATGATTGGTAGGGAGTCGTCGGCTGAGTTTTAATTCGAGTAAACGTGAATATTTCGTAACACATGAAAAAAATAACAGACAGAAATACATTTATGATCATAAGAGTTTGTCGATTATTTGTTATTAATTGGGTTTCATTGATTTAATTGTACGTATGATGTATGGCAAAAATTAATTGCAATTAATTTTTCGGTAGGCCTGTTTTCTGGCATTGTTACCAATAATTTCACCTAGCAATTAATTCTCCATAAATATACACATGAAAATCAAAGTTTATCTAATGTTTATTACTTGTCGCTCGGAAAGGGTTTTAACTTTTAATTCATGGGAAAATGGGTTTGTATATTAACTATAGTTTAACTATTGCCTTATGAATTTATTTTTTAGTGCTTTCTTTAATAGATATCTTTTGCCGCTGGAGTTTACCATTTCACAGAAATTTCATCTTTTAGCAGAGATTCTTTTTGCTTAATGGTTTGGCCTTTTATCTTCGCCAGTTTTAAGGTTAGCTTTTCACTATTACTATGAAATAATTCGGCCCAATTAAACTCTAACCATAATACACTACGAAAAGTAAGGACTGCTCTTAATAACGTTTGCATCTTTGAGTGTAAGACAATTTTCATTAATTCAAACTTTTAAGATTCAAAGTCTCTAAGCACTTACAAGTTTAACATTACGTGATATTGTTGCATTTGAAGTTAGTACTTATCTAAAGTTGTAACTTCAAACGCTTGAAGTTGTATTGGTTTAAGATTATTAATTAAAGTGTATAAGAAATTTTAATTTTAGGGTTTAATTTGAGTCAGGGCAACTTCAGGCAACTTCAAAGAGGTGCCAACTTCAAGCATGATAATATCTCACTCGATTTGTTTATTCATATAAGAATTACAACTTTAAATTTAGAATTGGGTCTAATATTAAAGATGCCAGAACCCAGTAGTGTACCAGTATTACTTAAAGAAGTATAGTCGGAAAGATAAAAGTAGTTGTGTATGATATTGAAATAAAAAATAATGTATGATATACGTAACACGTATGATAATAAATATTTCAGCTATACTAAAAATTATTTATTATTAGACAATTATTATATATTAAAGCAATTACAAAGTTTTTTTTTTTTTTTTACAAAGTTTAATAAAGCAAATATTAAAGAATTCTGCAAGAAATTTGTTTTTTTCAAATAAACCAGCAAAGCAAAAAAGCATATAAATTATAATTAATGTTCTAAACCATGTTCACGCTCTTTAATTAAATTAGAAATGCGTAATTCTCTTAATTTTTTCTTTCTTCGAGTTGTAATAATCGTTCTTCATACTCTAATTTTTCCATTAGCGACATTTGTGTTTCCTTAAAATATTCTTTATTTATAGCGACTTCATCATTAGTTAAATCAATTTCTTCAATTTTTGAAGTTTTTTTTAACTTTTTATTGTTTGCTTGCAATGAACTTGGTTGTATTTTTCGTTTTGTGCCTTTAGATTTCTGATTATCTATAATATAATAATTATATACATTTAATTATATACTTACACTACCAGTTTCAGATTTCTCATCATCGAACAGTTCCAAATCCTCTTCATATATACTTTCTATGCCATCAATAACTTGAAAGCAATGATCCATTTTATGAATGTGTATTTTTGAACCGTACGAATATGCCGGTAATTTGAATTTAAGTAAAATTGACTATTTGTTGTGGCTTTCACTGGTCACGAATATTGATTTTTAGTATAAGGTCCATCACCAACGTCTCAATATGAAGTTATGGGTTATTTTTACACTAGTATCGAAAGCGTAAGTATTTTTTTTTTTCTTTGTGTTCTTTATATATATGAAATTTGACTCTAAATTAATTAAATTATAATTTATTTACGATATTTGACTTCTACCTTTATTATATTATAATTTATCATTCGCTATTTGACTTTTTATCAATTACTACATTTTTTATGAATCATACTCGATTTTGCGCTTAATTACTCATGATTCGATCAATGATCGCAATCAACTCATGTGATCACGAGACCTTTCGAACTCAACCAACGAAACTAAGCGATAGTATCCTTACAATATTCACATATATATATATCTTTTTCTTTTGCACTAACTCTTTAATTCTTTAATTTAAAAACTCCTTAACCTTACACCACAGACCACATATCTCGAACACCGTTTTTCATTGCAGAACTGATTTTGACTACGATACCATTGTTTCATTCGTAACCACAAGCTACAAATTTATTATTCAGTATTGCATTGTTGAATTTATTATGCCGAAGACTTGCTATCATACACATGAGTATGATGATAAAAGCTTGTCATACGCAACTACTTTTGTACTACTGACTATACTTCTTTAGGTAGGACTCGTATTGTACATATGTTAAAAAAACTCAAAATTTTATAATCTTTTTTCAACTCTTAAATAAAAATATTTGGAATTTAATTTTACGTATATTTTGCAAACTAAAAATTGAGAATTGGTGGGATTTGTTAAGACGTCATGGGATAAGACAAATCCATAATAATCTGTAGTGATATCAATAATTTTATCAACATTCTTAGAAATATTAATGCTGAAATAATATAGACGGCATAGAAAGTGCCAGACTCCTAAAACATAAGTGCTTGAAGTCATAACCAGTAATGTAAATGGATCAGCGCAGGAATTTGACAGGGCGTAGTATCGATTTTACTGTCACGGGATGATTGGAAACAAATGTTGTTTGGCTAAAAAAACTTCATTTATATTTGGGTTAAAGTTTAAACCAAGGTTAAGAAAAATAATATTATTAGCAAAATTGCACAAGGAAATTTTTTGTTAGAACTCTAAAGATGGTTTACTAGACTAAATTTTGAGAT